TCAATATTATTTAATTTAAAGGAACAAAATTTCTGTACATACCCGACATTATAATGTAGATATCGTTATCAACGTATAAAAAAAAAAAAAAATTCTGCTAGCAGATATAACCAAAATTTAAATTCTGTTTCATTATGAGTTTCACTTTGTTTATTTATTATGTTACATAAAATATACTATCTATACATATCTAAAAAATTTTGATTGACAGTTCCGGTGTTCGTCACGTAGTCACGTCTTGTCCAAAAAACTACTGATCACATTCATATCTTTACAAGACTTTTGCACGTTACATGAAATTTATTTAAAAAAAGTAATTGCTGAAAGAACTAATGTTTTATTATTTTAGTTGGATAGTTATTATTTTGTTACGACTAGTTGAATCTGAAGCAAAACCCTTTAGCTGAATATAGATCCGCATCATTCCGTTATATAATAACGTCTGCATTTGAAACAGTTTCCTAGCACTAGCAAAATATTCGAAGCTGTTATATTTATACAACAGATATTAAACAAATATTAACTTCTCTCTATTTTTTTTTCATGCAGGTTATTCGTCGCGGTAAAAATATCCTGCCTACAGTCGCCCGTCTGTGTTTAATAGCGACATTTTTTGAAGATGGTTTGCGCATGTATTTTCAATGGAATGAACAACGTGAATATATGGATATAAGTTGGGGATGTGGCAAGTTTTTGGCGACAGTTTTTGTACTTGTGAATTTATTTGGACAACTAGGCGGCTGTGTAATGGTAATCGCTAGATTTAAGGTTGAAATTGCTGTTGGTGTGCTTTTCTTCATTGTAATTCTACAGGTATGTGAAATGTTTCAAGTACCCATTATTTAAGTGATCAATGAGTTTAATTTTTTTTACCGTTCCTTACACTAGACAATCGCTTACTCTATCCTTTGGGACATACAATTCTTGCTGCGCAATCTGGCACTGCTTGGTGCATTACTGCTTGTTTTAGCGGAATCACGTGTGGAAGGACGCAGTCTTTTTGCTGGTGTGCCCTCACTTGGTGAGAATAAACCCAAAAATGTAATGCAGCTCGCTGGTCGTATACTGCTCGCATTTATGTTTATTACATTAATTCGTTTCGAAATGAGCTTCCTTCAGGTATTATAAATATTTAATATTGTATGCAATATAATACAAATATGATCCTTTGAAATATTTTCAGATTTTATTAGACATCGTCGGTTCAATTTTGATGGTTCTGGTAACAATCGGATATAAAACAAAATTATCTGCACTCATCCTCGTAGCATTATTGACTGTACTCAATTTGTATCATAACGCGTGGTGGACCATTCCTTCTTATAAACCACTTAGAGATTTTCTGAAATATGACTTTTTCCAGGTAATATGTTAAATCATTAAAAAATTCTAGATGGATGTTGTTAATATAACTTTCTTATACATGCACTTGTGATTTTATCTATATATAACAAGTAATACATTCATATAATTACACTTGTAATCCTATTTTTACAGACGCTCTCCGTCATCGGCGGTTTACTAATGATTGTGTCACTGGGTCCAGGTGGTGTATCAATGGACGAACATAAAAAGAAATGGTAGACGGCCATGGTAACTTAGAGCATCCCCATGCACAGGAGAGAAAATGTTTATTTTTATTATTTTATATAAATGTATTTCTTTTTGTTTCATAAATTAGACAACTTTTTATAATAACAAGCGATAAACAAAAACCATAAAATGGAAGAAATTATGATAAAAGTAAATTAAAGAAAAAAAAAAGAACACAAAACACAAATAAAACAAACAAAAAACTTAGAGAAATATCAAATCGTGGTTAATTCCACTATGCGTTCAAGACATTTCTTTTTAGCAAAAGACTTTCTATATTCACAATAACGTCATTTACATTTGTAAAGTAAACAATGAATACAATATATGATCGCGTAAAAATGTCAGGTTGTGCTTTTGCTCTCTTAATTCATTTTTATACAACGCATGGTACATACATATACTATATCAAATACCAAGAAATGCCACATGATTGAGCTAATTTTTTAGTACACTCTGTTTCAGTTCTTCCAAACACCTTTTAGATATGTAAATTGGACACAAGGATTTTATTCCCACTTTCCGTTAATTTTTAAGAAATAATGTCTTAAAATAAAACTAATGTTTTAAATGAGAAAAGTATATTGTTTTCAACAAAATTCTTACTGCTATTCTTTGAAAGGGTTTTGTAAACGCAAAGAACTTATAATAAGTAAAAATGTTAAATCAACTGCATTGAAGCTATAATGCCCTTATCAGGTGTATTTCTTGTAGTATAGATCTTTATCTTGAATTTGTTCTCAGTTGATATAGCTGCTATATGTTCTAGTGGTTCGATCTAAGAATTTTCTTCAGAGAACGTCCTTTGTCTTGGTCAATAATATATGCCAAATTTGGTGAAGATGCCTAAACAAACAGCTCAACATTTTAGAGAGTTTTAGATTCAAAAACAGAAAAAAATTCGCCTGTCTATATTAAACGATTTTTAAATTCCACTTAAGGGTTTCTCTCTATTTAAAGAAAAATTAAAGACATTCATATACGTTTTATTTGTTTATAATATTTTATTTCAAATTTTAACTTATGGCGAAAAATACGCTATTTCGTTAAATTCCGCTTTCCGAAAACGTAAAACAAATATTTCTTTCGAAATTTTTCCATTCACTACTTCGATCGTTTTATATTTTTTAATTCAAAGCGGCAGCACCAGAGATGATTTCAATCAACTCACGGGTGATGACAGCCTGTCTGGTACGGTTGAATGTGAGTGTGAGCTTCTCAATCATTTCACCGGCGTTCTTGGACGCATTGTCCATGGCAGTCATACGGGAAGATTGTTCGGAACAAGCACCTTCCTTCATGGTATAGAATATCAATGAAGCTAGCGAGTATTCCAAGTAGCTCTGCACAATTTCGCTATCAAGTGAATCATAGAGTGCCAACTTCTCAGATTTCTCGACGGTTGGTGCGTTGTAAACTGGCAGCGTAGACAACTGATATGAAACGACTGATTTAAATTTGTTGTAGACAATTTGACCTTCAGTGAAATCATAACCGGTCTTTAACACTTCATGAGCAATTTTTGAAGCATCAAGGAAGGTAGGTGGCAGACGACCGACCTCGTTGGCAACCATCAAAATGTTCTTGCCATAGGTACGTGACAAAATGGAACGCGACTTGTCACCAACACAGAATAACTTGGTTTGGGAATCATCTTTAGCAAGTTCGTTACGGATATAACGAGCAACACCGGTATGCACGGCACCACATAGACCACGATCAGATGTCATGGCAATCAACAGCTTCTTTGGCTCAGTTTTATCTTCCGATTGGATTTCGGTTTTCTCAAAGAATTGTTGCGCGCCAACACCATAGGGGCGGGCAGCTTTTAAATCACGTTCAGCACGCGAATATTTGGCAGCTGACACCATCTTCATGGATTGCGTAATTTTCTGAATATTCTTTACGGACTTCAAACGGATTGAGATGGCTTTCAAAGTAGCCATACCGCGCTGCGGCTGCGACTGGAAAGTCGCCTCAATGGCAACTGGCATCAAAATGTTAGCACGCTGCATCATCATCTTGCTAAGTTGAAGTCCCGGACCGTGCAGAAAACTAAAAGTAGTAGAAATTTGATTATTATCACAATTTTTTCCGCAATCTTTGGTTATGCAAAATGAGAATTACCGAATTTTTCACGACACGAAGCAATTGACAGAAAATGGTGTTGTGAATTTCCTATTATGTAAGGTGGGATCAGTGTTGGCCAACTTGCCTTAAAAAGGGAAATTTATAGGCCTTCAAGAATATATGTATGTATATTTTCATAATTAGCAGAAGCTTTTGAATATATGGAATTTTGAAATAGTAAATACCGAAAAATTCATTTCCTACAGATTTTTTTTATGTAAAATATTATTTTTAAGTATTCAACTATAAAAACAGGTATTATTGTACCTAATTTGACTTTGCAATACTTACCACTTGAAGTTGTGATTTGTCTGTTTCTTATATATTTAAAAATTTTTATATCTTTAATTAGATTCTATGGCAGCACTTAAAGAAATTTTAAAATCCCCCTATTTTTTTATTTATAAAACTTTGCAACACTGAAGGGTATTTTTGTTCTATGGGTTGTCATTTTTGACACTTGTCAACAATGTTTAGGAAATTTAAGTTGCTGTCGAACAGTACAGAAATTATAACAACATATATATATTTTATGATATATTCCATATTGTACATAAAAGTTTAAAGTATAAAGTATTTAAATTAGGACGATTAACGCAATAAATATTTGTAATAAATGGCAGACCCACAAGATGAGCTGTGCCCACCACCTACAGAGGATGATGACTTGACTTTGCCTAGAGCAAGTATTAACAAAATTATAAAAGAGCTGGTACCATCAGTCCGTGTTGCGAATGAGAGTCGAGAACTGATACTTAATTGCTGCACAGAATTTATACACTTAATTTCTTCAGAAGCTAACGACGTATGCAACAGACGTAATAAAAAGACAATTAATGCAGAGCATGTATTAGAAGCTCTTGACCGTTTGGGATTCTGTGATTATAAACATGAAGCAGAGGCCGTATTGAATGATTGCAAAGAAGTTGCAGCTAAACGGCGACGTCAAAGTACACGACTAGAAAATCTTGGTATACCTGAAGAGGAACTTCTGCGACAACAACAAGAACTATTCGCTAAAGCTCGCGAAGAGCAAGCACGTGAAGAGCAACAACAATGGATTAGCATGCAAGCGTCTGCTGTTCAACAAAATGCTGAGCTAATGCATCGACAAATGAAGTCTAACAATAGCGGAGGTTTAGACGATGATGACGACGACGATGAAGAATACTAATGGCGTTTAGACAGCAATAGGTTTAAGAGCCCTCAGCTATGAATTATAAGTGGATTTTTTTTTAAGTAAATGATACATACACACATAAAAATTTCAAATAAATGTTTTATTAAATAATAATAAAAAGTTTTACTTATTTCTATAATTAGATATAATTTTTGTAAAAATATTGTGCTAACTTGAACATTCTACATTTTGTGGCTTTTCATCTCCGGAGCTAAGTTTTTCTATTTGTGTTTTTAGTATTGGCGATAATCCATCAAAGGTAGATTCATAGTCGCCAGGCTTATACTTGCCTAACAACTCGGTATGATCTTTCCAAAATGTTGCACGTATCATATCATCGTGCACGGGTACAATTAGCTGTCTATTTAAACCATCATGGTCGCTGATTTTCACACGCTTCCTCAATAGTATAGTACCTTTGCGAAACATGGGGGGAAGCTTGTTATAATTGATGCCAAATTTAGTAAAAAGCAATTCGTTTTTATCCGCAGAGAATGTACCACGAAGCTCAGCTTCAGCTTCTTGATTACTTAGTCCTGATTGTAATACTAAATTCCAAAAGGCGGTATTGTATAAGTTATTTATGTGTACGTCAGCTTGTCGCCAGCTGAGATAGTCGCGTAAATTTTGATCTGATGGATATAATACAACTCGACCATCGAAGCATGGAGGATATTGTAAAGTTTTGTTGTGCATCCAATGATTCCAGTTAAATACGTAGGCAGAAGTGAATAAACTGGTTACGTATGTGAGAAGTTTTGCTGCTCGTCGATTAAAAACGTTAGTTTCCTTTCGGAATATAAATGAATATTCATCACTTTGACCATAAGCTAGTATTACATCGCGGAATTCTTCCATTACCGTTACCGCGGCGATGTTCATCAAATTAAGCGCTGTTTATAGAAGATATTTATAAATGTATACAAATAATTCAATAGTAAAAAAAAACATTTGTATATATATATATGTACATACCATTGGCATCGTTAGGTTTAGCAAAATCGTGTGCTTTGGAAAATTTATGGAATCCCTTGCCATCTAAACGTATCACTATCCACACATTCGGTAAAATGCTATCGTCTTGTTCGTAGTTTTTAACATATTCAAAGCGGCTACAGGCCATACCACCTTCTGTATGTAAAACACGTTGTTGACTTATAATCTCGCCTGATCTCTTTAATAAATGAGGGATTGAATATCGTAAAAGCCGCATAAGATATTTTTGTGTTTAGTTCATTTATTTCAGATGCAAATTTTATAATTTATGTATAAAAAAACTATTTTCAAAATATCTTTCACTTTTGCTTATTTATCTGTAAATAACATATCAGTAGACGTCAGAAAAAACCATATGAGGTGTCATTGAAAAGTCGGTCGTCAGCTGTTGGCACTTATCACCATGTTATTGAATGTCTGTGCGATCCAAAGTTCTTAACGATTGCCTTAATATCATGAGAGGGTTTCACTACTTTGAAAAAAATCGGTTTCAATTGCATAAATTGATAAGGAATATGGAAACTACGGATAGGAAAAATTATCTTAGACAAATTTGAATATAATGGATCAAACTGCATTTATGAGTGAGAGTGAATGCTGCGGTAATGGCTGCATAAATTGTGTGTTAAATGTCGGATATCGGAAAACTTCTTGTAATAACATAGAAGGAAAACAGAATGTAATTTCGGAGTATCGAAAATTTCGACTGTCAAGCAAATATCCACATAATCCTATGTGCAGGGAAGATGATAATGGAAATGGTGTCGAAGTATTTGAACTCCACTTTTGTGTTGCTGATTTGCCAGACGGTATGGAAGACTTCGCTTTGATGATACCAACAGGTTATCATGTAATGATGCGTCAATATTTGGCTACTGGGCTAGTTTGTCTGAGGCCCTATTCTCCTTTTTGGGTGGATACTTTGGCGATGGAATTTAAAATCCTCGTAAATCTCGCTCCTTGCGGTCAAATGTCTCGATATATTAAAACACTGAAGGTTGGTGATTTTGTTGAATTTCGAGGACCTATAGGTGCTTACGAATATTTTAGTAACATGAAAACTGAACGTAATGTTTTCATTATAACACAAGGTGTTGCCATCGCAGCAACAATCCGCATTGTTGAAGATATTCTAAATAATGAAGAAGACTTCAGTCACGTTTTTCAAGTAGCATGTTATAAAGATATAGAACATACTTTCTTTCGAGATGCCTTACGAGACTTTAATAAGTATTGGAACTATAAAAGTCATATATATCTCGCACATCAGAAATGTATGCACCGTAAGTGTAAAACGGCTGAATGCTCTGGAGAATGCACCTGGTTTCAAAAGCAGTTGCGGTATAAAGAAAAGGTTCATTTGCGTCGTTTTACCAATTCTGAATTGAATGATATTAGCAAAGAAATCGTCGGTAATAGTACGGAATCAGTTTTTATAATCGCGGGATCAAACAATTTTCAAGAATCCGTTACTAATGATATCAAAAAATTAACGTTAGAATCCTCAAATACAAAAATTGTTCTACTTTAGAAAAAATGAAACTATTATATAGAAATTACAAATATAAGTCTGATTTTGTATTTAAATATATGAATCGTTCTTAAAAGAAATACATTGATGAAAATAATAATTCCGGCATACAAAATTTGCAAATGTCTTCGTTTTTATGTTTAATTATTTGGACGGTATATAACACCGAACTTTTAAGAAACTTATAAACTGGCTGGCAGGTAAGTAATGCCTAAGGCTATAATAGATTTTACACAAAGTGCTAAGTTCTATTAAATTTTGAGTGGTCGATACAATATAATTCCGATTTGCAAAATTATGCTATTATTTTGTCTTACAAAAACTAAACAGCCACGAAGGAAATAACGATTTATAAAGTGTCGACTGTTGTTGGCACGTCTTCATTAATTGGGTTAGCATCATCACCAGGCGAATAAAGTGCAGAATGCTCTGGCTGACCAGGAATAGCTCTGTCATTTGTATCATCATCATCATCGTGAGTATCTGAATCATCGCTATCATCGTTAGCTGAAATCATAAAAGAAAGATTATATGCCCTTGATTGAATTTGAAGTATATATTACCATCTTCGTCATCAGTTTCTGGTCCAGGTCTGGTTAAAACTTTACCTAGAGGCGGAATATCGCTTGCCGCATTTTTTATAGATTCCTTCCAATTATCATGATCCCGCTCATAACGCAAAACATCATCTTCGCTAGGTGGAGTATTAATTTCAAACCAAATGCGATTAGCAATTTGTGGTCTCAACGATGGAAAGAAAGGTATCATAGACATGACTAATTTCACACAGACTTCTAATTAATAAATAAAGTTGGTGTATGAGAAGATCTGTTCTAACTTATTTTGTGAAAAAACGATTTTTGACTTACTGCTTTTCGTAAACAAAACAAATGTTTGTTGTTTCTTGTAATCAACAGAGCTGCATTTATTAGTAAGACGAAAATGTAAAGTGAAGTTTTAAAAATTAGTGGTACACACCTTTCTGTTATCGAAACGAATGCGTTTTTGGAAGAGATGACTTAATGATTTAAAAGCGTGTTACTTAAAACAGAAGACGTTTTTAATTTTTTCAAAAATCACCATTATCTCTTATATAAAATAAACATTATCCATATAAAGCAGATTGTAAAAAATATACTTTATTTATTTTCCTTAGCAAGGCAACACATAAATGCATTGGCTTCAAAATAATTGACCTGTCAGCTGGCATTTTGACAAATGTCATAAAGCTAAATTTGTGTGTAAAGTGTTTAGAAGACACAATTTACAATTGTTTTAGTTTTGGAATTCTTGTTTATATTGGATATCAACAATGATTGAAATTACTTGCAATGATCGGCTGGGCAAAAAAGTAAGTAACTGTAATTGTTTTAATTAGAAACAAATAAATAAAGAAATCTTTTCTATAATAGGTGAGAGTGAAATGCAATCCGGATGACACAATTGGCGATCTAAAAAAGTTAATTGCAGCGCAGACAGGCACAAAATCTGAAAAGATAGTTTTAAAAAAGTGGTACACCATCTATAAAGATCCTATACGTCTATGCGATTGTGAGTAGTTAAATAATAATTGTTATAAATCATAACTTTAACATATATGTATATCTCTTGCTTTTCTAGATGAAATACACGATGGCATGAATTTGGAACTTTACTATCAATAGTTTAGATATCGCATACTAAAGATTGAATTCTCCGTTTTATAAATAATTTCTTTTTTAAGTCTACTTAATAAAATGTTTGTAAAAAAACAATAATCTTGCAATGTTCTCGTCTTATACTATAGCAGCAAAAAGTAACACTAAATATGAGATAAGAAGAGATTGTAGATTTTAGATTGTAAAAAGAATTTCAATTGTAATACTTTATCAAGCAAAATTAAGAAGTAAGAGTTTTTCTTTTAGAATAGTTCTGGAGAGGTAATCAAACGATTTAAAGCCCAAAAAAAAAAAAATACAATTCCGGTTGCTCCGAAGCTAGAATACCTTTCACAAATAATCATCATTATATACATATATACAAGGAGCTTTCCAAAGTAAACAGGACTTTTTGAATCTAGGGCCCCCAGGAGGCGCCATCTATATGTCGATGGCGCGTTAGAAACTGTTATCCTTATCGATTGTCCAGTGAGAACTTCATGACATTTCATCGATTGGAAGTGAAGTTATTGCGTTTTAACCAGAGAACGTATAATATTATAGTTCTCTGTTTTAACTGTCAGTATGTCTGTGTTATCGGTGCGAAAATGAACATTAAATTTAAATTATGTTTTAAATTTGGTAAAACTTTTATCGAAACATTTCAATTGATAAATTAAGTTAATGGCTATGATTGCCTATCCCGTAGCAGAGTGCAAGAGTGGTTTGAACGTCTTCAAAATGGTCGTGAGGACATAAATGACGATCAACATGTGGGGCAATCAAAATCGGTGATCATCGGAAATTCCATTGAAACTGTGCGTGAATTCATCAAAAATCAGCCGAAATCATCATTGAAATTCAAGGAAATGGAATTGAACATCTCCACAACATCGATTTATCGCATTTTGAATGAACATTTGGGCTTACGAAAGGTGTGTGCACGGTTTGTTTCGCATAAATTGATTGCTAAAACACCCGTTCGACATGCTTTTGGACTGTGCAAAAAGCTGTATTGAAGCAGGGGAAGATTATTTTGAATAAAATAAATTGATATTGCCGAAAAACATTTGTTATGTTTTTTTAAAGTTTCGTTTCCTTGTATGTATATATTATATTACAGAATTTCCAATGCTTCCTTTTTGGATGTTGCAAACTTAGTGGCAAACGTAAAATACGCTATTCAGAATATATGTATAAATAAGTCATGACTTTAATTAAATATCATGTGATAAATATGTATAAACAATCTTTTAGTTCATTTTATGAAGATTCGTTAGGATATTCTTCTCCCTCTTTCTCTCTATATACTAGTATGTCTGTTTATGGTTTATTTTACGTCATATTATGAATTCATTAATTGTCAAATAACCAAAACAAGACTTTCAAGTTGTAAATTTATATCAAATTAAGTACCAAGTGGCCACTTACTTGTTAGTTCCGCGTGTACACTTCTCGGAAGTGAATTAACGAATCGATCAGTGTTGAACATTCGAATAGCACAATACATCCGCGCGGAAGCGACTATCCAATACAGTTTCACTCGTTCGTCAATTTCCGAAATATTCAACGAACCAATTAACGAACAGTTAGTACGCGATCTGAAGTTAGTGCGTGCGGTTGTCAAACAAATTAGGGAATAAATTATATTGTTACGCCGTGATTAAAATATTTATTATTGTGAAAATTATAGTGCTCGCATGTCAAAATTGTCTGTTTTTAGTGTGAAAAGTGTGATAGATAAAGTCTTCCGATTTAAATTTGCATATTTGCAAAGACAATACGCAAGTGATATTGCAAAAATGAGAAGCCTCCTTTCGTTCAAAATGGCCGCCCAGAAGTGCGTTTTATTGTATCTTGCCGAAAAGAGCCAATCTCTTTTAAAAAGGAGTGAAATTAGTGTGAAGTAAATTAATGTGAAATTATAGTTTTGTGTGATATATAAAAAGTGGGTAAAATAAAATCAGTTTACTTAGTTAATGCCAAAAATTAAAATCTTAATATATGTATGTGGAAATAAATATGTGTTGTGTTTGTGTAAGTCTGTGCTGAAACCTACGTTCGATGGCGCACAAATATTTATGATACAAGTCTTTCGTTTTTTAGGCAAAGCAGTGGCTATTTAATGTTGCAGGTAAGTTTTTTGGAATTCTAATTCATATGTTATTTTTACACTTTTTAAATAATTTTGTGAATATTTAAATAATAACTAAATATTTTAATATAAAAATTAATTTGCCGGAAATGAAATAATTGAATATGTATGTTAACAAAATACCCCGTATTTAGGCATATTAACGCTAGATAGCGTAATCAAACTTACAGTACATATTCGAGTTTTATACCATAAAAACTAAAAAGCAGTTAACATTATTTTGAATTAGCGCTGGGTGGCGGTATCATACTAATGGTACATATTCCACTTTCACATTATGAAAGCTAAAAAGCCTTATGTATTTTGGTGAATATCAACCGATCAAATTTGACCCGGATGGGTCCATTTATGCTACGCGGATAAGCCGAATCGATAACCAGTTCTCTTCTTGGTGGGTACAACCCTTTTTTATGTGTCTCCATATGACAATTGGTGTTTTCTTGGCAGCTGCTTGTTTAGAATAAGTTTTCCTGAGGGGTTTTTCACATTAACATTCAAAAAACGCATTATTACTGGTAACGAGACGTAGGTTTATGAATATGACATTGAAACTCTCCTATAATCTAGCGAATAGCTCTCCAAAATGAGTCGATATAAAAAATTTGCCAAAGGCACTGAAGTCCGTGCCAGCCGAAGTTTATAACAAGTGTATGGAAAAATGTATTAAGCTTTGGCATGTTTGTATTGGATTAGGAACCTATTTTGAAGGTGATAGTGAAGATTTGTATTGAAATACTAGACCAGGGTAGATAGTTTTTGAAAGCCAAAAAAAAAAAAGATATAGTAGGCTGAAAACCATTCGAAGTGAAAATAAAATAACAAAAATGAAAGGAAAAATATTTTGGGTGATTTAAGGGTGGGAAGAGAAAGAGTAGAGGCGTGATTTAACCTTTTGGGTATAAAAATGGTTTGTCTTGATTGTCGGCAAAACTATGAGTCTTAAAGAAAAAAGTACTGAACACATTTCGCATATAACCTCAAAATTTATGAGACAATTTTAAATATGCAAGTTTTCGTATTTTTATTTTCAACTTGCAAAAAGTTTTTCTTTCACAAAATTTGGTGTAAGCTTTACTTCTTATGTCCCAAACACACTGCAGTTCTTTTTTTTTTTTTTTAAATTTTAGAAGAAAACTTTATTTCGTCTTAAAGCTTAAATAACTGTTAATTTCTGGTCAAAATATCAATTTTTTTATTCTTGCAACCAGTTGCTACAGAGTACTATACTTTCGTTCACCTAACGGTTGTACGTATCACCTAAAACTAATCGAGATAGATATATGGTTACATATACATATATAAATGATCAGGATGATGAGAAAAGTTGACATCCGGTTGACTGTCTGTATGTCCGTCCGTCCGTGCATGAGTGAAAATTGAGTTATCTCGATGAAACTTGCTATGTGGGCTCCTTAGTAGTTAGTACAAAAATTTGGAGTTTTTAGACGGGCGAAATCGGACCACTGCCACGCCCACAAATCGTCATTAACCGAAAACATATAAAAGTGGCACAACTAAGTATCGAATTAATACATATATAAAGCTGTAAGTTGATACATAGGATCGTGATAGCAAGAGGCACCTGTGGAAATTTTAGTTTAATGTATATATCTCTTAAACCACCTAAGCTACAATAACCAAATTTGCTGGCTACAAATCTTATGAGAACTTTACCGACAGTGTGAAAATGGATGAAATATAACGGTACTGTTAAAAATGACTACAAGCGAGATAAATTCATAACTAAATACGCCACAAACATTAAATTTTACCACCGAGATGGTATGAGAGAGTTTAATGAAAGCTGGTGTGAAAACTGGACGATGGGCGTGGCACCGCCCACTTTTTGGTGAAATCCCAAATCTCGGAACCTGACTAACCGATTTCTATAAAATTTGGTAAGTGACTTTCTTATCATATTTTTATGTTATAAAGTTAAAATGGGCGAAATCGGAAACGTACTTCTCATATAGCAAAGTTTTAAATTCCACTTGATTCTTTTACTATCCAGTACACAAATCAAGAAGCAATAAAAATAACGGAATTAAACTTTGCACAAATAATGTCTTTAGTGTGTGTCACCTTATAACCAAAAATTGTTTAAATCCAATAAAACTGCTCAAGAGGCTATG